CTTTTAAAGCATCAAGAAAAAGCTCCTCTATCCCCTACAAGAGTGGGAGAGAGGGAAGCCCTCTCTGACCTATTAGGAGATAGAAGAGCTTGCTCATTGCAAAATATCAAGAGGAGGAGCTCTTGCAGAAGTCATGACCTGTTAGGAACCAGAGGAGATAGAAGAACTTGCTCATTGCAAAAGGGGAAGCGGAGGAGCACTTGCAGAAGAGGCAAGGAGCTCCTTCACTTGCTACAAAGACACAGAGGAGCTTTCAGACGACGTATATTCAGAGATAGCGAAACTCGATCACGTAGAGATAGAGACTCTCTTAATAGAGACTAATGAGTTATGTCATGTCTCATTTATCGGACAGAGAATGGCCCAGGGCGACCTTCAAAACTCTTCATTGATAGAGAAGCTATTTCGGGACTCTCTCATTCCTGCAATGTGATACAGGAGGTCTCTCATGACCTCTTGTGAGATAGAGACCGGTTGCATCAGGGAAGTTTTCCCTGGAAACCCTTTGCTATTCCCTTACTTTGGTGCTGAAACCATCACGTTCTTGTTCCTTAATGCCCCAGTAAACCCTTAGAGAAAGAGGTGTTTTCAAGATGTGGTGGGGTATCTCATGTAGGAATGTACAATGGTTAGACACTAGCGCTCTTGCTTTCAAGAAGCAGTCTTGCAAGTAATGGCTCTGGGTTATGTCACGGGTTTGTTACGGTAATAGGCAGACTACACAAATACACCCTCCATTAAATTCCGTAGCCCTATAAACCCTACACCCTGCACGCGAATCCTGAGCCCCCTAAGACTCCTATGCCCCCTACGATGAGATATAGTTCATGGGAGAGCTCTTATACCGTTTATGAATGCATTCTTCTATCTTTGAGATGAAAGAGCTCCTCTATCTTCTCATAGGAAATGAAAGAGATCCTGCATATGAAAAGAAAAGACCCTTCGAGAAAAGTTAAAGAATGGTAACGAATCCATGTCATCTAATGGGACATGAAAGAGCTCCTCCATTTCTTTGAAATCAAAACCTTGCTTTCTCCCTGAGTGACAAAGATCTCTTGGAAATGAGAGATCTCTGCTACCACTTTCGAAAAAATGAGCTCCTATATCTCGGAGTCGGAAAGATAAAGATGTGAAAAGGAGCCCTCCCAAACCTACGAGGCGCCAGAGCACCCGCCCGCAGCTTTTCAAGCAGGAGAAAGGCTCTTTCGTAAGGGGCGGAGGAGCTCTGTCATTCCCTCAACCAGAGGGAGGGGAGCCCTCTCATGACCTATTCAAGAGAGAGGAGATAGAAGAGCTTGCTCATTGCTCTTTAGGATGCGGAGGAGCTTTTGCACAAGAGGCAAGGAGCTCTTTTACTTCTACAAACGCATAGAAGAGCGTTTAGATGACCTGTTACGAAATAGAATAAATGCTGTCTCACGTAAGCGAGAGAGACTGATGAGTTATGCGACGCTCCATTTCAGGGATAGGCCTTCGAAACCTTCAATTAGGGTTGATCTCTCGCAAAAAGGTAAAAGAGCTATGTCATTTCCTACGAAGCGATAAGCAGCCTAGAGACAATCGGCTTCTCTCATGTTTGCTTCATGGATAGAGAAGCTTTTCTCAACCAAAACCAAAGAGACGGATCATGTCCCATTGAAAGATAGACGAGTTCTGTCTTTGTACGTTACGAGGTGGGGGAGCTCTTTCACAAGAGGTAGGTAGAGGACTCTCTCATGTCCGGCAAAGAGATAGAGACGATCTTTCATGACCCGCTACGAGATAGAGAGCCTCTTTCATGTAAAGGGTAAGATATAGAAGAGCTGTGAGCTCCTTTACCTATCGACGGGAACTCTTATAGCTTTCATGAATGAGTTCTTGCCAGTGAACAAAGGGAGCTCTTTCACAAAGGGTAGATAGAGACCTCTCTCATTTCCTGTAAAAGAAAGAGGAGGTCTCTCACGACCTGATTATTGCGAGATAGAGAAGCTATGTCATATAAAGATAAGAAATGGTAGAGCTGAGGACTCCTCTGCCTAGTGACGGGAAATCAGTTAGATAGGACATGAGAGAACTCTCATACATTTCTTATGAATGAGTTCTTCAATCTCTGAATAGAAAATGAATGAGCTCCTGTGTCTTCGCATACGAAATGACAGTGTGGAAATGAGCTGTCTCATGACCTGTTAGGAAACAGAGGAGATAAAGAGCTTGCTCATTGCAAAAGAGGAAGCGGAGGGCTCTTGCAGAAGAGGCAAGGAGCTCCTTCACTTGCTGCAAAGATACAGAGGAGCTTTCAGATGACCTATTCAGAGATAGCGAAACTCGATCACGTAAACGATAGAGATTGAAAAGTTATGTCATGCCCCATTTCAGGGATAGAGAATGGCCTTCCAGACTTTCATTTCGAATAAAGGAGAGATCTGTCACAGAAAGGTAGAAGAGCTATTCATTTCTTATTATATCACGGGTAGACAAGCTTTTTCTCAAATACAAACAAAAAACCTGGCTCATGCACCATTGAAAGATAGACGAGTTCTGTCACTCTCGATCACAAGGTGGAGGAGCTCTTTCACACGAGGTAGGTAGAGCACTCTCTCTTTTCTTGCAAAGAGATAGAGAAGATCTGTCATGACTCCATGAACCGTTACGAGATAGAGAAGCCTCTTTCATGTAAAAGATAGGTCATGGTAGAGCTGAGAGCTCCTCTGCCTAGTGATGGCAAACGAGAAATAGGAACCAAAGGAGATAGAAGAGGTTGCTCATTGCAAAATAGGAAGCGGAGGAGCTATTGCAGAAGAGGCAAGCAGCTCCTTCACTTGCTGCGCAGACACAAAGGAGCTTTCAGATGACCTGTTCAGAGATAGCGAAACTCTCTCACGTAAACGATAGAGACTGATGAGTTGTGTCCCCATTCAAGGGATAGAGAATGGCCTTCCAAACTTTCATTTCGGGTAAAGAAGAGATCTGTCGCAAAAAGGTAGAAGAGCTATGTCATTTCTTATGCATCGATAAACGGCTACTCGCATGATTTCTTCATCGATAGAGAAGCAGCTATTTCTGAATAGAAATTCACAATGGAGCTGTCTCATGTCCCAGTGAAAGATAGACGAGTTGTGGCATTTGATTTTGAGGTGAAGGAGCTCTTTCACAAGAGGTAGGTAGAGGACTCTCTAATGTTCTGCAAAGAGATAGAGGCAATCTTTCTTGACCCGCTACGAGATAGAGGAGCCTCTTCCATGTAAAGGGTAGGATGTGGTAGAGCTGTGAGCTCCTCTACCTATCGATGGGAAATTAACAAGAAAGTACATTCGAGAGCTCTTACAGCTTCTATGAATGAGTTCTTGTGATTGAACAAAGGGAGCTCTTTCACAAAAGGTAGATAGAGACCTCTCTCATTTCCTGCAAAAGAAAGAGGAGGTCTCTCATGACCTATTGCGAGATAGAGAAGCTATGTCATATAAAAGATACGAAATGGTAGAGCTGAGCGCTGGTGACGGCAAATGAACTAGGTAGGACATGAGAGAGCTCTTATACATTGTATGAGAGATTTCTTATATCTATATCTCTTGTGAACGAGTTCTTCAATCTCTGACTAGGAGATGAATGAGCTCCTGTATCTTCTCATACGAAATGACAGAATGGATATAAATGATGTCCTCTAGCTGTTAACGCAACATGAAAAAACCTCCTCTATCCCCTAAAAGAGAAGGAGAGAGGGAAGCCCGCTCATGACCTATTAGGAACCAGAGGAGATAAAAGAGCTTGCTCATTGCAAAATAGGAAGCGGAGGGCTCTTGCAGAAGAGGCAAGGAGCTCCTTCACTTGCTGCAAAGATACAGAGGAGCTTTCAGATGACCTATTCAGAGATAGCGAAACTCTATCACGTAAACGATAGCGAGTGATGCGTTATGTCATGTCCCATTTGATGGACAGAGAATGGCCCAGAGTGGCCTTCAAAACTCTTCATTGATAGAGAAGCTGCGAAGCTATTTCTGAAAATCGACATAGAAGAGAACTCTCTCATTTCCTGCAGCGTGAAAAAGGAGGTCTCTCATGACCTATTGCGAGATAGAGAAATTTCAGGTAAGAGTTAGGTAATGGTAGAGCTGGGCACGCCTCTGCCTCTTGACGAGAAATGAGCTCGTGTATACTTCATGAATGCGTTCTTCTATCTCTCAGATGAAAGAGCTCCTCGATCCTTCTTATAGGGCATGAAAGAAATCCTGTGTTCGAACTGAAAAGACCCTTTGATAAGCAAAAGAAAAAGGGAAACGAATCGATGCCTTCTATCTTTTAGTGCAGAGCTTCTCACTTCTAATGCGACATGATAGAGCTCCTCTATTTTCTTGGAAATGAAACAGCTTGCGTTCTCTCCTGAGTGAAAGATGTCTCTGTCGTGGAAATGAGATCTCCTCTATGTTTCTAAGAAATGAGATAGCTCACCTCTACCTCGTAATCGGAAATGAGAGAGCCCTTCGCCCCTCTTCAGGCTATGAAACAACTTGTCTATCTCTTACTTCAAAGTGTGCTAGAGCTACATGGCTGCACTTGCTGGCGCCGGTGCACACACAGACCAAACCTTCACTATTACTGTTACTACTACTAATACTATTACTAGTATTATTACTATTCCTATTCCTATTACTATTACTAGTACTATTATTATTCTATTACAATTACGGTCAGTATTATTATACTCATAATAATATTAAAATTATTAGTATTATTGCACTACTACTGAAAGAAGAACCAGCCGTGAAATAGACCCTAAAGGTCTCGGCCACATATATATATATATGTATATATATATATATATATCTGCGTGTGTGTGCATGCAGATATAAGTATACATACTCTTAACAAATGTAATTATATATCTATAGACATACACATTATGTACTTATGAAATTATCTATGGCAATTAGTATTTTCAATTTTCTGGAGTATTGTTAACAATATGTACTGTCTGCTTACATTCAATGACTCCAGCTTTTGTGTCGGGATTCGGGACGGCCAAGGTCTCCTTCTTTGCGTATCTGACGGACCTCGACACCGTGAGCCTCTCAGAAACCGTGGAAGTCGAGGCATCTGGGCACGACATGACGGATCTCCTGTACCACCTCCTGGATGAGTCGCAGCCCGAGCGCTGCTTTTGTGAGGGGCCACTAAATCATGAAGGGCCCCGAAGGCAAAGAGGGTTTAGGGTTTAGGGAAAAAGGGTTTTAGGGTAATTGGGTTTTAGGGTAATTGGGTTTTAGGGTTTTAGTAAAAAGGGTTTGTCTTCCCCAAAGATTAGGGCCCCATGCAAAGCATGGCCCAGGCAATAGGTAAACAGCGCTCTGTGATGCAAGCGGCTCCGAGAACGGATCTCGAGCAGACAAGGGCGGGGAATTCAGGGAAGGCTTTTGCCATCACAGGAGAGAAGCCATATTGCGGGAACCTCCCTTAGATTCCAGCCTGGCAAACAGATAGGATGACAAAGGCCCGAGACTTCATTTTCTTGCAGAGGTTTCTCTTCAGCTTCAGCACGGAGTTCGTGGTTTGCCGGCGGGTGGAGGTCTTCGAGTTGGACACAACCGACATGACGCGGTTCCGAGCGAAGGCCAGAGGCCGTGGGGAGCCACTCGGTTCAGCGGACATGCGGGGTCGATGTTCGCGAAAGCGTGTGCTGCTCACTGCGGCACATGAGTAGCGAGAACGCCTTACCCACCGTGCGCTGTCAGCAAGCCGCTGAGGAAGTTCGACCTCAAGAAGCATCCACAGGGCACGGAGATCAAGGCCGGGAGCTTCTGCAACTTCCCTAAACCTTATGGGGAGAGCATCTCCGGCTCGTGAGGATCACATACGGTACTTTCTTCAGCATGACGTGGGCACATGGCTCATGAGTGCTGATGACGGGCCCTCGTGTGAAGGCGATAACGATGCACCAGATGAAGGTCTTGACGCCCACCGAGGTGATTACCGAGGCAGGCACTCAGCCTCGAGCTGCTTGGCTTTCGATTCTTTGCAGTCTTTTGCCGCAGTCTTTGGGTCTCTTTTGCAAGTGCTTTCTGTTCAGGTTGAGTGCCCTCAAGATTCACAAGATGGACGTGCGACGAAGCCAGACTTTCCCTACGAATGCTACGCGCTGGTGGACATCTGAAGCAGTCTGAGAGAGCACTTGCCCGGCATCTACCGCCACCATCGACTCCTGTGCATCCTCACAGAGCTCGGAGGAAGCCCAGCAGGCACACAGAGAAGCACCCCGTGGCACCTTCCGAAGTCCTGGGCCCGGTCACGAGCCTCTAAGGCGAGAGTTGAGCGTGGACCCAAGCGGTGTGCAAAGGCGTGTGGAAGTCCAAGAAGGGGAAGCCGGTCATCAACCGTATCAAGCGCGTGCGAACATGCGCAGCAAAAAAGGTTTGTGCGATAGCCAGAGGGGTTTAGGGTGTACGGTTCGTTAGGGTCTAGGCCAGGAATATGACAGTCAAGAAACCATGCTTGCATGGCCAGGTCCCCACGCATCCGCTCTTATTCCTCAAACTCGGTCCTCTTCCTAGCTGACTTTGAACATGCAAAAGAAGACTCTTACTAGATGCGTCAACGAAGCCCAGATCAGGCCGGCCAATTGCATGATGGTCACATCTGATATCATATGTCGCCGGTTGTGTCCTCCCTGGAAAGGTACCCTCTTGCAGCACCCCTTACAAAAAAGTCCCCCTCACCAAGGGAGCCATAACTTCGAAGAACCCTCATGTGATGCATGATCCGCTATGTCCCGTTTCAGCCCAGCGCTGCCCCACCTCCGGTGGTCGCCTTCCTGGCGACCCCGGCTGAAGCTTCGGAGGAACCCCACAGGCCAGGCCGGAACAAGCCGGAACACCAGAGTTTTTTTTTGGGCCAGTCATAGTAGGAAGGACATGAAGTTGACTGCCATTGCTTATTACAAGAAATAATTTCGAACAGTAGCCGAGTCGCGATGATTGTGATGTAGAAATGTTGTTACATGACTGTAACAATAACTTTACTACTGGGCATTTCTGTTGTGATGGCTGTTCGTCGTACAAAGGGGACCTTAAGAAAATCTACCTCTAAGTCTTTACCCAGCAGAACCTCAAAGCGCAACTTGCAAGGCCAGAGCCCCGCCTCCTCGCCCGAAGCGTTGCTTCGGAGGTTCCACGCCGATCCTCCTTAAGACTTCCTTTAGGGGTTAGGGTTGCGGTTGAGGGTTTAGGGTTTGACTTCAACCTTATACGCCCGAATGACACCTAATGGCGGCCAGTAAAAGCCTTGCCTGCCTTGCGCGACACCGAGTGGAGTCGAGACCTTGGCGGGTGCCGCGAAAATAAACCTCGACCCCTATGCGGGTGCCCAAAAAATCAGGGATATTTGCGGGGAAGAGGAGAGCCCCCCCCCCATTTGTTTGGAGGAGCAGAGGCCGAGACCTCGGCCCAGCGAGGTTCAGACGGAGGCCATCTGGGATTGTTTGGGCGCAGTGAGGGGTCGGACAGGTGAGACCTGAAGAGAGACCTGCAAGGACTCGCCCCCTGTACAACCCACAGAGGTCCAGTCCGACCAGGCCGAACAGGCGAATGTGGCAGGGTGGCTTCTGCAAGATCCTACTTCATGGTAGTTGCAAGTTACTCGTGGCTGCAGGTCTCGTCGCCCTCAGTGCAGAAGCCACGGCTGCTCGGCCCGGCCCCTGGTGATCCTGCAGTGGCGCCCGGGGGTCAGGACAGCTCATGGCATCACACGATGATCGCCAGAGTCATGAGGCTTCTCCGAGTTCTGGCAGCCAGCGGTGCGACAGCGGCTTGCATGATGATTCATGATTGTTGAGGGTGCATCTGAGTACCTTGCATCGTGTCATGCCGCTGCGAGGTTCTGTGACCTCTACTTGCGAAGACGCTGGGCACCGATACTGCGTGCCCTGCTGCACTTGCAAGTGGGCCACTGGCGGCAACTCTTGGACTTCGGTGCAGGCAGGCCCTGTCCTGACACTTCGCTTTCTTCATGGTTTCGAGTGCTTCTCGAGCTTCCGTGGCAACGACGCCAGGCTTCCGGACCTTCGTCTTCGATCCCAACAGCATTGATCCAGTCCCACGTGTCCTACCATGGGAGGTCTTACAATATGTCTGGCTGCTTGGGTGCGCTCATAAACGCAGAAGGCACAGCTCACCGTGGCTTTACGTGAGTGGCGCACCGAGAAACGTCATGAGGCTTGTTGTGTTCATGGCGTGCAGCCTGCCCAGCCCGCCATCCGACGCGGAGTCGATGCCACTCTTGCACCTCAGGCGCATTAGGCGCCACCGCGGTAGAGTCTTGTCCGTGCTTTACAATGGGTTTCAGTACTGGGAGGTTTTCCATAGAGTCGAAGCTTCACCGGTCGGCACCCGACTTCATTGCCTTATAGCGAAGTCAAGGTACTTGCAGCTGGCCCTGTTTCTGCGCGCCTTGTGCCGGCCCACGCATCCCACCGGTGCCTCTTGGGCAAGGCTAATTTTTCCATCGCGGCAGTTTGAGATGGCAAATTTTGGCAGGCAAGCCTGCGGCCGGCCCGCCGCCAGTGGTGCAGTTCCTGGTGCTTGTCCTAGGCGGCACATGCGAGCTATAATTATCATTAGTATAGTATTATTAGTATTATTAATTTCTTAATTGTAAGTAATTAATTAGTTGCTTTTTCATTTTGTGTGTGTGTGTGCTCCTGCGTGCGTGTGCGCGCGGTTCCATTTGGTGTCCGGGTTGGGAGCCGCGCCGCAGAGCGTCAGGCTGCCCGGCCACAGCCTCCTTGCTGCGTGCCACGGCCGAAGCCTACGCTTCAGGCGTCCTTTGCGCTTTGCTACATTTTGCTATCGCGAGTCTGCTGCGTTTCCTTCATCTTTCTCCTTCTTGCGCAGGGCCGGCCGCCTTGCAAAGTGCTGGAGGCTGGGAGGCAGGGACCGTCAAGTCAGGTGAGAGCTCAAGTCAAGTTGCCTTCGACCGACCCGTCGGCTTCAGGCGTGGACAGTATCTCGGCAGGAATGGTCAGAAACCATAACCTCGTGCGACCGTGTCTGAAGCATGAGCTACGAGAGGCAACGGCTGGTCTGAGGCAACCCTAGGCGACCTCGAAGCGCGTCACTAAGCTAAGCGAGATCAACGCACGTCTAAGGTTGCCTTTGAGACGGCCTGGAGATCTGAGGGCTGGCACGTCCTCCGATCTTGCAAGGCCTTCTTGCTTCAGTGGGACCCTGGGGCATCCCTGGGCATCCCTGCATCACAATCCCAGATCCTGTGATCGGAGAGGCGGTACTTGGCGAGCTCTATCCAGGTGAGGGGCGTGGTGGCACCAGCGGCGCGCCCACACTGAGTCTGCAGCCGCACTGAGAAGGGGAGCTTCTCAAGCTCGAAGCTCTAAACCAGCATCAGCATCTTTGTAGATGGATTCGGGTTATTCGACAGAGCCCAGGATGAGGCTCCCCTCGCTGCTAGTAGCAGCCGTGCTACAGCTCTTCACACAGATGTTTTCAGGCGGCAGCTTCAAAGAGCTGAAGTGAGTGAATTGCTGAGATGTTGCCATCGGACCCGCCTCCACAGGTTTGCCGCTGGGTCAGAGCGCCGGGCAAGGCGAGAGAAGCGAGACTCGTACCCGGTCCTCCCCGTCATCCGTGGCCTGCAGCAGCAGGGCGGACAGGCCCTCGTGAAGTGTGCAACGAGTACTACGTAGAACCAACAACAGCTGGGGCGCAGGTGGGTCTTTGAAAGGCAGGTACACGGTACACGAGGAAGAAGGGGCTCGAACTTCATCCTTGAAGGCAAGCCGGGATGCTCGCTATTGCCTGAAATGTCCCCCAGCATTTTTTTCTGGAGGCCAGACTCTCCGGCTCACATGCCATCGATGTACACTCCCACGGAGTCAGGCCCAACCTTCAGAACGCACAGCAGTCAGAGCAGGTGTGGGTTCTTTGCAATGTGCCTCCCCACCCCCCGCCCCGGTCCCGTTCTCCCTACTTTCTTTCAGGCGATGCAGAGCCCTTCGAATGCCTTCAGCCTTCCCTGGCTGCTTCGGTGTTGCAGTGCTCACGCTCTGCAGCATGGCTTCGCAGTACAGCTGAGCGTCACAGATGTTCCGCGGATTCTATGGCTTCTTGTGGGTGTAGGAGAGTTCCTCAAGGTACGGCCCACCAGTTCAACGGTGGCAGCGGCGGACCGCTTCTTGCTCTGCGTCTACGATTTGCTCGAGATGTGCACCGAAGATCCTCAGCCAGAACCTCCACTGGTCTGAGTCTGAGGTCCCCACAACAATACATCTGAGCTGCGAGGCTATGAGGTCAGGTCAGTCTGCAGAGCTTCTCTCTCCCCGAACGAATTCCAAGTTCCAAGCCCCCGAACGAATTCCAAGCCCGTTCAAGGCCAGGCTTTCAAGTCTGCTGACTCAGGCCCCACTTAACATGCCGGCATTCTGCAGAGGGTCGCACTTGCCAAACGATCACCTCTCAGTCTCAGTCAGGGAGTTGGTGGAAGAGTTGTGTCAATGTTTCATCAACATTGCGCAGCCAGCGCGGTGAACGGTCAACGTCATTCCCCAATTGTAGCCATCCCCATTGATCCATAACCTTTCCCAATGCCTGCATCGAGGGTCGAACCTGTTGGTGACTGATGATGCAAAAATGTAGTAGAGTGTTGGGTTGACAGGCAGGCACCTCTGACCTAGGTCGAGCGTGACGTTCCTGCCGTGTGTCCAGATGCTCCTCCAGCAGAGCCGATGGACCCCGTGGACATTCGGATGTTTGCACGACTAGTGCGCGTCGTTCTGCAGGTGCGGGGGGAGGGGAAACTGCGCCATGGAATGTGGAACCGAGACCGCATCGCAAGGCCTTTTTCATCGATCCGGCCCTTCTGGCGGCGGCACCAGGCACAGAAAACACAAACATCTGTGCCTGGTTTGCTCTCGTATAGATGTCTGAGTGTGAAGCAGGTCTGGATGCCCTTGCCGCTGGTGCCTTCTCAGGGCCTTCTGACCCAGATGAGAAGCCCATCTGAACTTACGCTGTGCAGGAGTTTCCCCTGAACCCCAAACCCGAACCGCAGTGCGTGGCTCTGCGGGTGGCCAAAAAGTGCCCGAAACCCCAACCAAATAGCCCCGCCCCCCCACCCCCCAAAAAAAAAAGGGCCCAAGCCCTCGACTTGCAAGGTTCGTGCCGATCTCCGAGTCGGGCCCTCTCCGGAGGTGCCCATCGGAACCCTTATTGCGGGGATTGTCGTCGTTTCGGGGTCTATGTCGGGAGGCACCTGATTTTGGGTGATGCCCATTTCTGCCCATTTTGAAGCAACCCCGCATAAAGCTTCAGCATGTTTCTGTGCCATTGCAGAAACAGAGTTTCAGGAGCTTGGCTTTCATGGAGCAGTCGCCACTGCTGCACCCCGGCACTTTGCAGTTCAAGCCCTAAACCCTAAACCCTAGAAACCCTAAAACACCCTAAACCCTAACCCCCAAGAACATGTCTGTACCTCTACTTGCCTCCCAGGCAAGTCGTGCAGCGGCGCTTGTGCTCCGCGCACTTCGAGGATGTCGAGGGCTCCACGGAGCAGCTGACGCCCCCCGGCCGAAACTCGGAGCCTTCCCAAAAGAAAAAAATTATGTGGGGGTTTACGAAAAGAAGGGACCCCTAAAGTAGACCCCCAAATAGTTCCTTTGTAATGAGGACCCCAAGAAGGTACCAGTACCCCCAAAATATCGGAACCCTCCACTCCCGACTTCACCGAGGCACTTTGCCCTGCGAGCCCTGCGAGTGCTGTGGTTTGATCTGCGCAGGCTGAGTGCTTCGAGTGTTGGTTTCTGTTCATATGGGTCAATGAACGGCATGCGATGGGCCTCCGGCTAGAATTTGCAAGAGTGAGTTTGTGAAAAAAGAGCAAAATTTCTCGTTTGAGTGCAGTGTGGGTGCTTCATGCATGCGAGACGAAGTCCGCGATCTGCCAGCTGTGGCAGTTGTTTGCATGCAGAGGCTTGCGTTCCGTTGTGTGTTTTGCTTGTCTACACAGTCCACTGGCGCCAGTACACTTCGAGAGCGCCGTGTTTCCACATCTTTGTGTTTGCAACCTCGGGGGTATTGGAGACTAATGAGGCTGGCAGTGTGTAGGGCGAAAGTTTCAGGTTCCCTTCTGCTGAGCAGTAACTTCGAGCTGCGCAGGTCGACTTGCACTTTGAAGCGGGTCTCCGGTGGGCCGTCCGAAGAAGGTCTGATGCTGGGGACTCAGGTAGGGTTCTTGCTCAGAAGCAACGAATATCGTGCGATCTCTTTCGATCTCCAGGCTGTCCCTCCTCATGAAGCCCCTCAAGCTGCAGCTGAGCTGTGACTGCGATGCCGAGCTGGCCAGCTTCCCCTACATCCGGTTGGCATGTGGGGCCCAGGCCGGTGCCTCAGGGGGTTCTTGATTGAAGAGTCTGCCTTTTGTCTCTGTGTCGGTGTTCGTAGAAGGTGACAGTCAAGGGCGTCATTATCTCCATCGCGCTGGCTGCAAGCACATCTGGCGTGCTGCTGCGTGCTGTCGACGTGAGCGTGCCAGAATTGGAGGTGAAGCTCAGCCGCGCGGACGCACTAGTGGTGCACTGACTGTACGTAGGTTTCATGAAGAGGTTGCTCTAGTATGCTGCCACTCTGTTGCTCGGGGTCTCTTCTTTGAGGCGGGGTGTACGTTGTGAGGAGCTGATGCAACAAGATGCAGCAGCAAGGCTGCCCCTTCCCCCTCTAGCAGTCAGGGACTTTGATTGCCTTCGTCGAGATGTAAAGAATTCAGAGGCCTCTGAGGGGCCCCGTGGTGTGGGAAGGTTCGGTCTCATCCTACTGGGCCGTTGTGCTGAACGCAAGCATTCTTGTCATGGAGTTCCTACTCTTGAGGTATCACCGCGGCATCTCTATGCCGTTGTAATTAAGTCGTGCCCAACAGTGATTAACTCGTAATCGCCGCAACGGACCATGCGACCACTTAAGCCACTTCAGCTTTGCATCACATTGACGGGAGCATCCAGGCGATGCGCCACTACTCTCCAGGCCTGGCGCTCCAATACTCATCCCGACGCATTCTTTGCCGCCACATTCAACGCCCGCCTCGCCAGGATCGCAGTCTCGGCAGTCCTTGCCATATTTCAGACCACGCTGCAGGACGGTAAGAGGCAGTGTTTCTCATGCAAAGTTTGCAGCAAGGCCGATCAACCATCAGGACCGATCATAGGTAGGCCGCCTAGAGCTTGTCAGCTTAAGCTTCCTTCTGAAGTTTCCCAGGTGTTTGGTTGCCACTTGTTCGGGTCACAATTGACACATGTCAAAGACGGTTGACGTATCAGTTGGATGAACGACCAGCCTGCTACCCAGTGTTGTCGATCCTGTAAGACATTGCAAGAGCCCATTTAAGTCACCAAGCGTGATGAAAAGCTGTTTGAAAAGGGTTAAGGAAAAAGAGCATAGGAGGGTATCTTCGAGCCACACTCCGCAGCTTTGCTCGTAGTGTGAAGGGCTTGCTGCACCATGGCGAAGCAGGATCGGTTGCAGCAGTTGGATGCGTTGGTTAAACGCATGAGGCGTAGCCAGACGCTGTCGCCAGGGGAAGCTGCCAATGTTCAGAAGGAGCTGATTGGCCTGGCAAAGAGGTGCTGGCCAGAAGACGAGGAGGACGACGATGAAGAGAACGATGGAGACACGCACACGACGCAGAGCTTCGATCGGTTGGAAGAGGTCCTCCTGAAGCTCTCAGCTGCCGACCAGGAGGCGATCGTGGCTGCTTTCCGACCTCTGCGTGCTGGCGTTTCACGCCGCCTTTCAGAGTGGACGCATGCCCTGAACGACTGGCTTAGCGAGGCCGGGGCCGGGCATGCACAGGCACAGCATCTTGCAGAACTCCTTCGTGAAGTCGACAGCTCTCCGCAGTCTCGATGGTATCGCCAGTGCATGAAGCCTCGGGTCAAAGCGAAGTTTCTGATGGCCATTGCCAGTCTTGCACGGGCTTTGATCCGTGGCAGTTCCTTGCTGAAGCCCTTAGTCGCATCCCATCCGGCCATTCTGTCGCTGGCGAAGAAGATCGTCGGCAGGCTCTTTGTGCAGCCTGGCTATGGCGACACCCTGGAGAGGTGGGGTTGGCAAACTCAAAGGAGGCGTAGAGCGTAGAGTAATTCAAGGAGTAACTTGGAACTCGTGTTGTTTTTTTTGCCCCAAAACGCCCTGTGCAGGTGGCACGAGGGCCGGCTGGCCGTCTACAACGCGACGATCTCCTTGGCCGCACAGCGGGCGCTCCAAGTGGACAAGCTGAAGGACGACCTGCAGGTGTCCCTTGTCTCGGCAGTGAAGCGCTCGGCCAACCCTTCAGAGGATGGCAAGGCCAAGGCATCTTTGCAGCTCCAGCTGAGAGAGTGGCCGATGTCGGGGTGCCCTTTGGCCCGAGCTCTCTTGGACTTCCTGAAGTCACGGGGAGCCGAGCTGGGGGACTTGGGTCGACCGAGTCTAAGGGAGTGTCCGCCACATGCGCTGCAACCCGAGACCTTACGACAGTTGCTCTCACGCTTGGATGCTTTTGAGGTTGCGGATGGCATCGTGCGACTCCGCTTCGAGGCCGTGGCCGCCTTGGCCTTCAAAGCAGTGGGGACGAAGCCGAAGGCTTCCTCTGTGGTTCCACCGATGCTTCCTGCCAAAACCCAGCCAGCCCAGATTGCCCAGGCCACCCAGGCCCAGGCCGCGCAAGCTGCCCAGATTGCCCAGACGCAGGTCGCCAAACCAAAGGCTGAGGGCGGCCTCCCCCAGGACTCGGACTTCAAGATCGATCTTTCGGATGTCAACTTGATGATAAAGCTCATCAAAAGTGGCCTGCGCGCTGGGGACGAGGAGTGGCGGCAAGCTTGGACGCAGTTTTGTTGGAAGAAGGACCTACGGCCCAAGCTCTCCATCAGAAACAAAATTAGCCCTCCGAAAGAGGCTCTGGCTGCATTCTTGGAGGCCAACCTTTCCAAGCTCCGGTCTTCTTTCTGGGCGGATGCCTCCCGCTCCCGATCCGATCTGGAGCGCCGCCGGCGCCGCGAGCGCCAGGAGCCTCGGGAGCGCCAGGAGCCTCGGGAGCGCCAAGCAGAGCTGTCGGAGTCCTTCTCCAGCTCGTTCTCTGAGTCCGAACGCTCCCGACGTCGTAAGAAGCGACGCAAGGAAAAGAAAGGCCTCATGGGCTATGCCGACTTCTTTAACTCCAAGTCCAAGCACATGACGCCGGAAGTGATGATGATGAGAGCCCAAATGATGGGCTTCTCCATGGTCATGGACAGCCCGCTGGCCATGATGGGCATGCGAGCTCCGATGATGACGCCCTCAATGACACCCATGTTGCCGCGGCCCGAGGCTGCACCAGGCCGCCCTTATGGTAGCGCTGTGGCACCACTGCTGCCACCACCCCCGCAGACGCCGGCGGCACCGGCACCGCCGTCCACGCCTGGCAGCCCGCCGCCTCCAGCGCCCCCGGCGCCGCAGCCCGCAGCTCCTTCGCCAAGCTCCAACTCCGCCAACTCCGCCAACTCCAAGCCACCGTTGCCCAAATCGGTCGTGGCGGCACGGAAGCAACAGGAGTCGACCATCGACATGGATGATCTCTGATGCCACTCCCAACTTTATTAGGCTCAGCGGAGCAGCAGGGCCGGTTTCTCGCAGATATTGGGAATGTGCAGAATGCTTGGTGGCTTGGGCACTGTGGCGCTTCGTGCGTAGTTACGTAGTTGTGAATCATTGCAAATCATTGCAAATCCACCCAGAGTCTATGAGAGTCTTCCAAGCTGACGGGCCACCGCAGAGGTAAGGTGTTTACCCGCAGTCTTGGCCTGAGAACCGTCTCACCGACAGCAATTGCTCGTCGAGCTATCGCGCGTGTGACTCGTTGCCTGGTGCACAGTTGGTGACATGCTTGTGTGGCGTGTTTGGGACATTGGAAAAGCTCAGTTCGAGGGCCTGTGAAGAATTCATGGTCTTTCAGGAGTCGAGGGATTGATGTCGGTTTGGGTGAGTTCATGCAGATTCATGCAGCCTTGCGCGAAGTGTTACGCGGTCTCTCGCAGGCCCCCCTCAGGACAGGCCTTCGAGCTGAAACCATGTTTTCAGGTTTGTGTGCCATCGTGGTCCTGAACTTCAGGAGCATCTGCAGCGGCAGTTGCAGCGAATCCTGAGTCGCCTTCTGGAGCGAGAGCTGGGGAGGACTCTGTTGGAGTTTGTTGGGCTTCCATCAGGTAACTTCTAGACTCTGGAGTCCATGGGTCCCTTCTTCTTTTGCAAGTTAACATGAATGCAGAGTTGTGTCATTCTACTCTTGGTGAGGTGGAACGGCGGCACGTGGGACTTCCTTCGCCGAGTGGTTCCAAATGACCTGCTGGATGAAGCTTTGACTTGGCTGGATGACAACATCCCCCCCGAAGGCATTCCGATATAGTTGTAGCTCACGTTAATGACCTGCGCCGGCATGTTCCCAGAAGTGAGACTGTAGTGTTGGGTGGTGCAGACTATGCCTGGTTGTTACATGTTGACAGCTCAGGGCACATGCCGCGCCGTGCACAGCCTTAGCACCGGAAAAAAAGTTCTCTGCTGGCGGCAGTGTTCCCTTTGCTCAGCAACATGCCTTGTGTAGTCAATGCAGTTGGCCATACACCCTGACTGCGAAAGCTTGCCTGCATTGGAAGACTTGACCTGTTGCACTCCTTTTGCAGGCTCCGCCAATTGATCGCGCAGATGCACGAGCTTTGCTGGGATCATGCTGGTTCCAAATTGAACGCATCATGTTTCCCTGATTCTGATAGACCCAAAGGGTCTTTGCAAATGGTTATTGTCTGTACATTGTGCAAGCACCATGCACGCTCACGTCGGCAAAGCTGATGGGGCCGTGGTGCACAACTCCGCACACAGGCGAAAACTTTCCTCGTGCCCGGGTGTTGACTGGGCTTTGAACTGATATGCTCCGCTTCTTGCGACGCTCGCGTGGCGACCGCAGTGAAGTTGAAAGAAAGTGTGCTCGCAGCCATTTCCAAGAGGCGTGATCGTTTCAAGCCCAGCACTGCCTGGCCGTCTCGCACTTAATGTGGCAACTTGTGGATGCCCGGCTTGCTGGCGCCCCCTCGGCTTCCGTGCACCAAGGCCATGAGCCTGACCTTCGTACAAGGCCTTCCTCCCCAAGGCGTTTCAGCGCCCGTGGTCTCGAAGGCAAGATACCGGGATGTGTTGGCTACGATTCACCACATCACGAGCTCTTCCATCATCTGAAGTTCAACACAGGCGCAGTCGACTCCACATCCAATCAGAAGTGAGGGCCGTGGCCATGGAACTGGGAGCCTTGGCTCAGCCAGACATGTGGTCACGGCTACTTGATCTACATAGTATATACATATATATATATATGTATAATATATATATATATACATACCTTAGTATCCCCAAACCCATTTTGGCAGGGCAAGATTGTCAGCAGGAGAGAGGGAGAGCGATGGAGCAAGTTCCTGAGGGCCGCCCTGTGCCTTGCCTCCGCCGGCGCGGTCGCTGCCCGCAGCCGGGGGCGAAAGCCCACAGCCGTCAAGGCCGAGTCCCGAACGAGGACCGTTCCGCCTGACACACCTGGTGCTTGATATCGTCTTTTTGGGGTCTCAAGAGGGGCCAGAAGCCATGTACTCCGTCTAATCTGTTCCACACATGTCAGGGTACCGCGAAGTGGCAAATAATGATACGCAAGCACGGTCTCGTACCAATGCGCGCAAACGGAGATTCGGATTCATCCTGCAGTGCTTTTTATTGAATTTCAATTTCTTGGATGAGTTGTGGTTTGACGGTTTTGGAAGCCGCTCACTGCTATCCCATTAGTAGTGGTTTTGAAGGCCCCCCCGGTCCCGACAACGGGTCCGGCCAGTAATTGCACATTTCAGGGTGGGGGTTAATGATCGCATGAAAGATTTTGGCACGCCTACTTGCCGACATCGCCGGCGCGGTCGCCGAGACTTCGCTGTCCCCTCTGTCCTAAAGTCCTAAAGCATTCCATGCACGCCAACTATTGAAAGCATGTCAACATCCAGTCCGCGCTGGCGCTCGGACTCGCGCTCGCTCAGTCCTGTGGGTATGAAGGTTGTTTGTGGGCATTGGGGTGATCACTTGAGCGGCCAGGACCGTGAACCCCGCAAACAACCAGCCAGAAGATCCCACTGACTTTCCGAAGCCGCCGATGATTGACAAGACGGCGACTGTCTTGCAAAGCTGTCAGGTCCTGCCTACGTCATGTGAGATGGCTTTGGAGTGCTATGGAAGCAAGCGACCCAAGGACAATTACTTGGAGGGCGAGGCCTTGTCAAGCAAGATTGCCGGCCTGAAGGGCAAGGGCGAGTCCAAAACCGTGGCTTGATTAAAGTTGATGATGGCCAGCTCTCCAGCTCTGGAAGAGTTCTCTGTAACTCCTTGGCCCTGCCGGCATGACGCTTTCGGCACCCTGCGCCGAGGTCGCCATCATTGGAGGCGGCCTCTCAGGTGGGGAGACCGGAAACAAGCAGGAATGTTTTGCTTTTGCCAGTTATTGCCGTGACAACGAGGGAGAAACATGCGCCTGAAGGCCTTGCCTGCGCCAAGTACTTAGTGGATGCTGGCCACAAGCCGATCGTCTTGGAAGCTCGTGACTGCCTGGGCTTCTTGGTTTGCACTAGTTTGCACTTGTTTGCGCTGTTCTCTTCAAGCTGCTGTCCGGAGGAGCCCGCAGCAGCCTCCATCTGGAACTTTCTGAACCACAATGTGCCAGAACTGTTGCAGCAAATCCCGAGGTGGCAAGGTCTCAGCCTGGCAGGACAAGGATGGCGACTGGGTTGAGACAGGCCATGGCCAGAATTGGCCGTTAGTTTTTTAGTGTTTTTCGTTTTTGCTCGGTCTTTTGGGACGTCACGGATCTCGCAGCTTCATGGCCGAGAGTGGGCTGCTCTCTCCCGGAGGTTTGCACATCTTCTTCGGTGCCTACCCGAACATGAGACTCAGCAGACAGCAGACACCGAGATTCTGAGAGCGCTTTTCGGTGCAAAAGATGTGCAGTCGAAAGTGTCAGGATGAACCTCTTCAAGGAGCTCGACATCGAGGACCGGCTGCAGTGGAAGCGCCACCAGATGATCTTTGCCATGCAGGTGGGGGGGGGGCAGCAGGGGGCACCCTTGAGGTAGCCGCAGGTAGCCCCAGAGGCCCTGAAGATCCTCACGGAACAGATCGTGACATTGAGTGGGAATTTCAGGAGCTGCCGGGTGAGTTCACGACCTTTGACTTTCTTGAGGGCATCCCGGCGCCCTTCAACTTCGGACTGTCCATTCTGCTGAACCAGACTCCTGTCTCCTCAAGTTTCTCTCATGGCCTGTCGTAGACTTGGCATGCCTGGTACTCCCTTAACTCGCAAATGGGGCGGGGGGGGGGGGGGGGGGGCAGCTCCGGCAAAGGAAGATGCTCACACTGCCTGAGAAGCTGCAGACAGCGCCCGCCCTTCTGCCCATGCTGGTCGAGGGCCAGAAGTTCATCGACCTGCAGGATGAGCTCTCAGCTACCTGGCGAAAGGGCATGCAGATGGCTGAGTTTTACTGGGAGTTTTGTGGGGCAGGATAGGCCCAAAATGGCTTTCCTCCCTAGGTCTTCAACTTCATGGAGAAGTATGGCATGCCAGACAGGACCAAGCTGTCAGACTGCCAAGCTCGGACCCGCGAGCCATCACGAACCCACCTAAGTAGTTTTCAGAGCCACCGCCAGAATCACCGGCTCATGGTCTCAAGCGAACCAGGATCAACACAGAGGTCTTCATTGCCATGGCCAAAGCCCTGGACTTTATCGATCCTGAGAAGCTATCGATGACCGTGGTCCTCACGGCCATGAACCGCTTCCTGAACGAGACGGATGGTCATTCGCCTTGACTGGTTGAGTTGCTCTCACAACTCCCTGTGCGAAAGTACTAGTACGTAGTATGAAGCCGGCAGGCACAGCCCCCCTCTGCTCAGCCACAGTCCCTGCATACCAGTAACCAATAGCCTCACATTCGCTACCTCCTAATTCTAGGCAACTGTCGCAGTCCACGCAGAAGACCCCTCTTCTAAAGAGTCCCCTGCCGAGGCCTTCAGATGGCATTCCTGGATGGCAATCAAACACTGCGCCTTTGCGAGCCCCTGAAGCAGTACATCGAAGCAAGAGGCGGCCAGGTGCTTCTGGACCAGCCTCTGGCCAGCAACCCGCCATCAGATAAGATCGCAGCAAGAAAACATATCACGGCAGATCGCATGTTGTTTGCATATGTCTCTCAACAAGGCTCCGACGTTCCGAAAACTGGTGAGGTGTGCAGCAGAGAAAGCTTGCTTTGACAAAGTAGATGTGCTGCTGAGGCATTGAGACCAACGAGGACGGCTCGGTGAAGCACTTTCGCATGCGCAACGGCAAGAATGTGGTTGCAGATGAGTACATCTCTTCGGCTCCTTGACGCTGCCATACGCAGCATGTGGTGACTTCAGAAAAACCATGCACCTTCGTGGCCAGTCACCCTTGGATCAGGTTCCCTGCGACATCATGAAGCGCATTCTTCCACGCGCCTGGTCCACGGACCCCTTCTTCCGACAGATCGACGAGCTAGAAGGCCAGGCGGTTCCTCTCGTGGTGCGCAATAGCTTTGTTGGACTGCCTGAGGCATTCCGGTCATCAACATTCACCTTTGGTTCGACAGGAAGACGCTGTGCTAAAATCCGGGCATGTTAAACTGTTACCGTGCATCTCGTGACTTTTTGGCATTATTCCGTCTCCAGCTCAATGCGGCTAGCAGATGATGCGGATGTCCTAGGCTGCTCAACGTGAACCACCTCTGCTTCAGCCGAAGCCCGCTCCTATCTGTGTACGCGGACATGAGCACATGTTGCAACCCGGTCAGCAGACTCTATCCCTTCGGAAATTCACGGGATCAGAGCTAGGTAAATTGTGAGGATTTTTCGGGGAAAGACGCCCGCTGCCATTTGGCAGTGCCTCGGTAAGGGGCACTCGGGGTTTGAGGCTGCACCATGTGCACCTGTGCACTTGCGTGCTTGGGCATGTCAAACCCAGGCAAAGAGTACGAAGATGAGGCTTCGACGGGCATTCGGTGAACACTGCACACAAGAGATTGCACTTTACGGTGCTGCACTGACCAGGACAAGTCGATGCTCGAGCTGGTCTTTGCTCCCTGCTCGCCAATTGCTGGTGGCAACACCAACTGGACTCCTACTTGGCGGCATTGCAAGTTTGGGCGATAATTCCTATTCAATGCTCAAGCTTAAGAGCCAGCGCAGCTGTTGCCGAGAGGATGGGCAAGAGTGATCAAGACATCGTCGATGCAACCATGAAGGCGAGGCTGCTAGATGGGACCACTTAATCTTCCAAAAGACGAACCTGGCAGGAGTTGGAGCGCCTCTTTCCCACGGAGATTGGGCCAGATCTGCCTGATGGCCGCTGGCCCTGCCATCAGTTCGGGGTTCGAAAGTCTGAACAGCTGTAGCTTCGGGCAAATCGTTCTCGCAGCAGCTGCCTTGACAGTTCAGAGCGGTTTGGTGGGGTGTCGGGTTTGCTCATCTGAGTGAACTGGAGCAGGGGTTCCCCGGCTTCACTACTACATACAGTCCCATTCATGACGACTGTGCATGCTCAAAGCCATGAATGATGCAGAGATGTGGTGCAAGACGCCCGCCTCGAGGTGGGGCCAAGCTCATCAAGCACGCAGTGGTGAAGGCTCGGTGTGAGTCTGCGTCTTGGAGATTTGGCCATCCCCCAATCCCGAGAAATGTAAGTTCGGAGGTGCCTCGCAGCGTTTATGCTGCCATTCCGGGCCGCAACAAGTTCCGCCCCTCCCAGGATGCCAGTGCACCACAGGTTCATGTCCTTGTAAGCCCTGTGCCATTTGCAGTGGTTCTGGCCAAGCCGCCTAGCCCACGCTGAGGAGACGCCCATCTCGAACTTCACCCTGGCCGGTGACTGGACGAGCCAGACACGCGGCCTCAACCAGCGCTCACTAATCTTCACGGTATGAGCACATCAGCCCTCCCCTCCTATCCACAGCCCAAGTCCCCCAAGTATTTGCCCACTTGCTGTCGTATGATGCTCTTTCTGTAGTTGTGGTCCGTGTAAGGAAGTTCTTGGGCAGCATGGAGGGCGCCGTCCTCGCTGGCAAGCTGGCAGCGGAGGTTGCTCCGCGGTTGCATCGCAGGCAAAGCTGGGCAGCTTACGGCAGCTTCATCCCTGAAGGCAGCATGAAGGCAGCTGTTTTTTTGTCCCCTTTAAGAAGCATGGAGCTGGGCTGCACAAGGTTGCCTGCAAAGCAGCTGGCGTGCCTACGAAGGCCAGCAGTTCCTAAACCAGCACGAGGATGTATTTCATCACGCTCCAAATTCTTTTCCAGAGCAACACATTGCGCCATCTGTACCTGCGACGTCTTTTTAAAAATGTCGCCGCAGGGTCTGAAGGAAATTGATGCATCCATCTTGGCTAAGAAGGACGACTTTGCGCCTCCAAATGCATTTAGAAGAGACCATGTCGTTTTGATGCTCGCCAGCTCCATTCCCAAAATGGGACAATGAGTCGCCGTAGACTTCGACGATAATGATGTGCTACCCTCCCCTACACTGCTCAGGTACCTAAGGATCCCATGGGAGTGAAGGGAAAGACTCCCATTGCCTTTGGTGGTGGCGAAGTGCTGGGATCCAACTTCGATGCATGGCTGCAATGCGTTTGCCGAGACACGTAGATCCAATGTAGGTTTGCAGTTGCGAGATTTTGCGCCGCCCGAGCAGTCTGCATGCAAGGAGGACAAGCTCAGAAAACAAGAGGCGGTGTTGCTTGAGAACGCTTGAAGCGTAGAGTGCGTTCAGCACTACATCGTTTTCAGCCTGGCCTGAGCCGCGAGCTTGAATCTTGTTCATCACGCGCGGATCTTGGAGCAAGCGTTTGCGCGATGATCATCCGAAATGAGTATAGGAGTATAGGTAATTCAGCAGTAGAATTCTATGTCAGAAAAAAGCTCTTGTTGCGGGAGACCGACCAACCTGCTGGCTTCACGGATGCACACACGTGTGGGGCGCAACATGTCCTAGAATGTATCCACATGCCGAAGTCTGCGATGCCAGCTATATCCTTTTTAAGGCCAGTCCTTGGCCTGATACTTCTTGCACTTCTTTCAAGGATGACAGGACCTTTTGATCTCCTCGACCTAAGCCGCCCGGACCTGCCGAACCGAACAAAGATGCAAAGAACTCCGTATTTCAGGCACGGAAGGTGCGGTGGCACTCGGTGGCATGTTTCACGAGGCATTCGGACATGAATCGTGAAATTTTCAGCTGAATGGCATGGGTGGATCAGGCAGAGCAAGGCTCTCTGCCAGATATCCGGGTGCATTGGACTCATTGGACACCCTGCCATGGAGCTTCTTCTCCGCGCGGCGGACTGAAAACAAGAAGTCCAGTATCTGCGGTACTCGCTTTCTGCGACAGGTGCTTTAAGCAAGCAAATCTCGCATGGAAGGTCTCTGAATTGCACCTCAAGACTCTCAAGGGGCAGCTCTGGAAGAAGTTGCTAAGTAGCCTTCATGGCCCCTGCAAGGTATCTCAAGCTGGTCGCCGATTCACTTGTCGAACCAGAAAGCCTTGCAAACATTTCATATGCCAACCTGGCCTAGAACAAGGGTTCAAGGGGAAAGAACGTGGTGGTAGGGCCGACGCCGGCGCCATGAAGCCAAGAGTGCGAAGAGAGCAATGCAACGTGGAGCACACAGGCCAGCTGACGCCCATGCGATTAGAATTGGATGCTTGTTTGTTTGGTCCGCTTTGTTCCGCTCTGTCAAGCTTGGTCAACATTTTTCCTGTTCTGTCCCTGAAGCCTCTGAGCATAACGTGGACATTATACATGTCATGGTGGGATGAGTAAATCAGTGGTATACCTTTAAACAATATGGGGCAAAGGCACAAACAGCGCTAGACACGGAGTCTACACAGACGCATTTGCCGAACAGACCGTAGAACGAGAGCACAGCCAGCAGCAACAGCAGCAGCAGCAGCAGCAGCAGCAGCAGCAGCAGCAGCAGCAGCAGCAGCAGCAAGAAGAAGAATAAGAATAAGAACAAGAAGAAGCAGAACAAGACGAGCAACAACAGCAAGAGCAACAGCAACAAGAGCAACAACAGCAAGAGCAACACAACAGCAACAGCAACCCCGCAGCAGCAGCAACAACAACCTTGCGAAGCTACATCTGAACATTAATGCGAGACGAAACGGCGAAATCGGGTTTATCCCGAGCTTGAAGTTTCAGACCAGGTGGACATGTTCAGGAAAAAGGACGCACTGGTGAATCGGAACGGGTCGGCAGTTTCAGCAAGAATGAGTACACTGTAAACTGTAAAAGAATTGACTAACAATTGGCGCAGACCTGTTTCTTTGTGAAAGGAGTGGATCGGGCTTACTTGCATGAAGCTTTCGCAACTTGAGTGGCAAGTTGCTCTACGACTTGCAGTTGCGGAGCAACGACCTGAAGCTTGTAGTTGTCGTCAGTGGGCTCACCGTTTTGTGGCTTGAAGTTGTGGGTCGATGACTTGAGTTGTCGGTGTTGCTGAAGCGATGGTGAGTTGTGAATTGGGAGGTGCAACTCGTTGAGTTTCCTCTTGCCCATCCGTGCAGCTTCAAGACACAGTGCGGCCGTTGTGACAGCAGTTTGCGCTCTAGCGCGTTGAAGAAATCATGTAACCAAATGGTCGTTGCAGTTGAATGCGGCATATAGGTCGCAATGGCATACCCGCACAGCTACTGGTAGTTTTTTGGCCTATTGTGACACAAGTCTCCTGACTGCGCCATGCCTCATGGGAGTGATGCGTTATCGCGTGCTTTCCGAAAACATCTCCAGACATTTGGATCGATTGGAAATCTAAAAAAAGGCTGGTCGTTTGGCAAGTTAGTCGGTGCAGAGCGGTCGTTTTTCCAAGCTGCTTGCTCAAGATGGTATGAGGCGCATGTGACAGAGGGGAATGTCGAATCGGGCATGGACGGAGACACATCTCGATTGTTCTCATCTTTGAGCCTCCATGAGCAAGTTTCAATCATCGCCGCACTTTTACGCGGTCTATTGCTTGAAGCTGAGCCTTTGCCGCCAGAGAGGCCCGAGTACTATGCAGGCTTTGTGGCAATGTACCAGATGGTCCTTTACACGGAGATTGCAGGCGAGGTAGACATTCAAAGGAGCGAGATCGACAGGGAGCAGGAGGCAGAGCTGTGGAAGGAGCAAGCGCGGAGAGGGGACGCCGATTTCCATGCATGGTGCGAGGTCTCTGCCGACGTGCACCGGCAGGAACGTATCGAGCGTCAGTCAAGGCTTGACCGGCTATGTCCCGACGAAATGGAGCAAAGCTACTTGCAGTCCATGAGGGCTGAGTGTGACAGCAATGATCAAATGCAGCAGCGCGCCCTCGCCGTCCTGCCGGAGCTCCAGGAAAAAATGGCGTCTCTGTCCATGCTGCCAAAGGAGAAGGACCTTATCAAACAGATGGCAGCCTTTGACCAAAGAGTCACTAGAGCAAAGACTGCAACTCTTGGCCAAGGATCTAGTCAGCCAAGCCGCAAAAAGAAACACAAGGACCCCGGAGCCAACGATTACGCTTTCTATTGGCGACGCCTCTTTCTGAACATGCAGAGCGAGCGCATTGGTGGGACCTGCATGCCAGGTAAGATCAAAGCTGATTGTGCTGACATGGAGGCTTGGGAGGCCGCAGCTTACTTTTTCATGACGGCAGGTTGCATTCGTCTCAGCACCGAGGATCACGCGCTTGTCTATGGACCATTTAACGGAAAGGAGGAGGAGCAGAAAGAGTATGAAGATCTCATCCACGCTCGGTCTCGTAGGCGCTTTGAGATCTTCAGCAAACTTTGGGACCCAGCAAAAGTTGCCTTTGATGAGCTGACTGTTCAAGTGCTGAGCAGTCATGCGCATGGCCCTCCAGTCCTTCACCCCTGGTGGCCTGCTGAGAACCATCGCCTCCAATGCAAGTTAGAGCAAGATCGCTTGGAAGCACTAGAGCGTGAGTTGAATGGTGAAGACACTTCCGAGGCTGCCAGAGGGCGGAGCCAATTATCACCTATTCTGTTCTCTTGCAGGCCTTTCATGACAGAAGTGCAGCAGGATGAGCTGAAGCACCAGCCATTGTCCACACGGATCGAAATGGAACAGGCGCGTGACTCGTGGATTTGGATATGGCATGACCTCATGGACGGCAAAGATTTGGACTATGACAGCCCGGCTGACAGATATCATGCTTTGCTCTTGACTCGGGATATACTGAACTCACAGAATATACCACTTGAGCATGTGGGGACAATTGGCCTTTGGAGCCCCAGTGACTGGATGAAATCAGTCAGCGATGATCTGGCACTTACGTGCAGTTTTTGCTACTCCAAAATATTACCATCACTTGAAACACAGGCCATCACATGTTCAGGGTGCGGAGTCGCCAAGTATTGCAAATCAAGCTGCCAAGATGCTGATTGGACGAAGGAGTACATGCCACACAGGGAAGCGTGCGCTGCTATGCGTTTAGCACGCTCCGATCCGGTTGCATTTCGTTCGCAGATGGAGGCGGATCGTCAAGAAGCACGTAGGCTTGCAGAAACTGAGGTCCAAAAGAGGAGGGAAGAGCAGGTTGAGGCCGCTCGAAAAGAAGCAGCGTCCAAGGCAGCAGCATTACTAGCACCTGCCCAGGAGGACCGGGATCAGAACTTTGCAAGCGAGGCCTTGGCCCATTTGCAGCGTGTGATGAAAGCTCGCACCGAGGCGACCACACTGCGTGCAATTCCTGAGAGGAACGAAGATCTCAAATCGGCCTTGACGCTTGCTCAGCGAATTTCGATCAAGGGTAGTTGGCCTGACGAGTTGCGCGGTGGGTTTGCAAGGAGTGTGGCAGAGGCACGGGAGCTGCTGGAAAGTAGTAGCAACACGCTTCAACAACAGCATTCCGAAGGTGATGTAAAACTTGGCGGCCCCTCCAGGCACAAAGGGCCAGCTCAAGCTGAGCCTGGGCGTCAAGCCCCAGGTCAAGCAACTCTCTCAAAGAGACCGAAGCAAGCAGATGAGGTCGATGCAACGCCTTCTAAGAGGGAAAAGCAAAAGCGCAGGCGGTCAGAGTTAAAACGCAAAAAAGAGGTGGAGCTTGCACACCATGCAGAAGCGGAGGCTGCCTTGGAACGCCAAAGGCTCTACAACTTGCATCCGAAAGTTTGGGAAGCAGCAGAGGGCGATGCTTTCGAAGGGATTCAGGAGGAGACGGTACTTGATGATGGAGAAGTTGTCATCACGTTGCCATCGAAAACAAGCAACGCGTTTGCGTTTCGCGAGGGTCTTCTAAAAGACTCTGCGAGAAAATTGTGGGCAGAAGGACAAAGGTCGCCACACTCGGCGAAGCAAAGACGAGGGCGGAGTTCATCCCCAGATCATTGCTGGCGAGGGAGTCAAGCACGTGGTCTCAAGTTCTCCCTTGCCGAATTTCAGGCTCGATTTGCAGGAGCCGACTCCAGGCAACGGCTGGCCACGGCAGGTCCAGAAGATTACGGTGCTGACTTGTCAGAAGCAGTGCCCAGCTGTGAACAGTCGCAAGCAGACTCCGTGCTTGAAGTTGGCGTTGAAGGTTTCATGGATCCCCGTGACATTCTTTTCACCCACTCTTCAATTTCTCGATGCTTCCGAAATGGTGCCGCCCTGGATGATACAATCGAGGCAGTCCTCAAGGGGGAAATCGAGCTGACAGCCTTTCCTGCCATGGAAGTCATTGATTTAGATGGGCATTACTTCTGCTTGTCGAACCGCCGGCTTTTCCTTCACAGAGTTTTGGCAAATATGGGAAGGTGCCAGCAAGCCCGGGTGGTGCCTCTATCCTGGAATAGTGAGCGTGTGCAACGCCTTCGGTGGGATGAATCCCTAGGCCGGCTGGCAACCAAATGGGAAAGATCATTGTCCACAAAAAATGGAGGCCGGTTGGTTCGGATACAGAGCAAATTCTCTTCCCTACAGGAACCATCACGAGCTTCAAGAGATGGCTTGCTCCAAGTCAGGTCTGCTGTAGACCGCGCGCAATCAGCGCACCGGTGATCGAGCGCACATGAGGCTCGCAGTCGTCATCATCACTCAATCATGCTGAAATTGAAGCAGTAGGCAAGTAGGCATTATGGAGATTTCGTTTCAAGAAGCTCCCAGAGTTGACGCAGCAGGCTTTGCGTCTGGGAGCCTGCTGGGGCAACCCATGCAGATTCAACACCAGAAAAAGAACTTCAGCGCCTTTCGACCTGTTAAGAGCCGAGATCCTACCAAGATCGCCCGAAGTATCCTTTAATGGAGGTCATCAGAACATCGTACAGCAGCCGCAGCCTCAGTGATTACAGTTTCTTCATCTCTCAGACTAGATTGCTCCTGTGCGCAGCACGGCCCAGCTCTGCTACTCAAAGGTTCTTGATCTGTGGCCCTCAAATCCCACTCCGTGAGTTGGGAAGAGTACAAGCTCCGAGGGCCGAAGTCCAACATGCCTCCTGGTAAGGTTGGACCTAGAGGGTATGCTGAGCGACCGGTGATGACCTGTGGGCTGCCCAGGGAGTCAGGGTTTTGCGACTTTGTTTGTCAGGGCTTGGATGGATGTCCAATGACCTAGCGGCGCTAGCAGGATGGTTAGCACCGGCAAGACATGTGCGAGAGCCGATTTGTCTCTCTCTGCGCTTGTTTGCTGGGGTCTCACAGGCTTCTCTTCATACAGGGATGGTCTCTTGACGCCTTTTCCGCCCAGCAACAGTGTGCGGTCTTTTCAGGTTAACGCACACAGAGGGTGTGACAGAAACGGAGTATCTCGTGATGCCCTGTTTTGCCAAACACAGGGCCTGACATACACGAAGTGTCTGTTGAGTCTACTGGTGCTTTCTCTGCCTAACAACATGTGTCGATGTCTTCAGTTCAAAAAACGGGTGCGTTACAAGCACGGAGGGTCTTTTGACGCCTTTTCTGCCAATGTTAAACACCGCAGGGGGTGACATACGCGGAGGGTCTCCTGATACTTCTTCTGTTAGCATGTGTGAAATCACTTCAATTCGACAAACAGGGTATGAGGTACTCGGAGGGTCGCTTGATGCCATTTGTTGCCTGTCAGCATGGGTTGAGGAAAAGCACGGGTGTACACGGCGGGACAGCGGCGGGACAGCATGTGTGCAACCTCTGGTGGGCAAAAACCACAGTGCAGGACGCACACGGAGAGTTTCTTGATGCCTTCTCTGTTGAACAGCATGTGTGAATTCTTTCAGCTTAGCCAAGCACAGGGCGTGGCCTGCACGGAGGGTTTCTTGATGCCTTTTCTGCCTAACAGCAGGCGGTGCGCTCGGAGCGTTTCTTGATGTATTTTCTCCTGAACAGAACAAGCGGGGCGTGACATATACGCAGGGTTTCTTGATGCCTTTCCTGCTGAACAGCATGTGTGCGCTCTTTTCAGCTTACACAGGGCGTTTCTTGATGCCTTTCCGCTGAAAAGCAAGTGCAGCATGTGTGCGATCTTTTCAGCTTAACAAAACACTGGGCGCGACAAATACACGAACGGTTACTTGATGCCTTTTCTGCTGAACAGAAACACAGGGCGTGACATACACGGAGCGTTCTTGATGTCTTTTTTGCTGAGCAGCATGTGTGCGATCTTGTCAGCTTAACAAAACACAGGGCGTGACATACGTGGAGGTTTTCTTGATGCCTTGTCTGCCGAACAGTCAGTCAGTGTGTGTGTGTGTGTGTGCCGTCTTTTCAACTTAACAAAACACAGAGCGTGACATACACGGAGGGTTGCTTCGGAGCATGTGTGCGAACTTTTCAGCTTAGCAGAACACAGGGCGTGACGAGGGCTTCTTGATGCCTTGTCTGCTGAACTGCATGCGCGCGATCTTGTCAGAACACACAGGGCGTGACATACACGGAGGGTTTCCTGATGCCTTTTCTGCTGAAGAGCATGTGGGCGATCTTTTTTGCCTACACAGGGATGTCACGCAGGGTTCTTGATGCCTTTTCTGCTGAACAGCATGTTTTCGGTTTTTCAGCTTCGCAAAACACACGGCGTGACATACACGGAGTGTTTCTTGATGCCTTCTCTGCTGGACAGCATGTGTGCGATCCTTTTCAGCTTAACAGTACAGAGGGCGTGACATACACGGAGGGTTTCTTGATGCTTTTTCTGCTGAGCAGTATGCGTGCGATCTTTTCAGCTTAACAGAACACACAGGGCGTGTTCTTTTCCGAACAAACACAGCAAAGCCGTTAGCAGGTACCTTCCTACCTAAAAGTTTGCCAGCGCCGACAGAGATTCAGGGGGCCTCGATTTCGGCACTTCCTGCAGCACCACCTCCCATCATGTAACTCCTGTAGTGCCCTGGGGCTTCCCCAGATACTGTCGGCTACTGAGCATCTGTACGCGTTCCAGGGTGAGAGCGCGCGACAAAGGCCACAGCAAGTACACCAAGCCCTGGCTTCCTAGCTTTGCTTAACCTCCAAACTGCCCAACCAAGGCCTTTAAACAGGCCAGCTTCGGACTGTGGGCAGCCTTTGCCTTTTTCGGCCGTTTAGGCATTTGATCCTGGACACTGTGGAGCGCGGTGCAAAATATCACGTTTTGCATGGACAAGGGGGCTTGCACGAGCAGAGCTCAGTTCATCGGCCAAAGAGTTGGAACTATGCAGAGCAAAGCTTCCTTCGACAGGTGGGCCTTCACTTTCCGCACCCTAACACGACGGTTACTTAGCAGCCGAAATCTCTCGCCACAAACTCGGGTGACTGCTGGCAACTGCAGGGCCTCCAGCAACCAACCGCTTAGCACGCAAAACCACATAGTCAGCATCCGTGGCAAAAGCAACACCACCAATGGTGGCTTTCAAGCACAACGAAAGAGAGGCAGCTTCTCCATATGGAACGGATTGGAGCGGTCTGGGACACTCAACATTGGCAACCATACTGCCAACACAAACCCAGTCGTTTTGCACATGGGCTTCTAGCATCTTTTGTAAACGGACCACCAAAAGCATGGCCTCCAAAGTACAATCCATCAGACATGGCAGGAACGTGATTACCCCCCCCCCGCCCCCGCCCCACCCCCCACCCCCCACCCTCCAACCCCCCCCCCCCCCGCACCCCCCTCACGCAGGTAGAATCGGGCTTTTTGCTTGACGGTAATCCATGCGGTAGCACAAACATGCCCGTGCAAAGTGGCGTTTTGTCTCTCTTTTTGTTATTTTACCGGGCTCGATGGACACGAAATCTCTGTAACAAAGTGGCGTGTTTTTGTTTTTCTTATTTGTTTATGGGCTCGATGGACACCAAAATCTTTGTAACAAAGTGGCGTTTTTTTGTTACAGGCTCGATGCACACAAACATGTCCGTAACAAAGTGGTGTGTGTTTTTTTCAAAGGCTCGATGCACACCAAATCTCTGTAGCAAAGTGGCTTTTGTTGTTACAGGCTTGATGGACACACAAATGTCCGCAACAAAGTGGCTTGTTTTTAGAGGCCCCATGGACACAAAAACGTCTGTAACAAAGTGGCGTTTGTTTTTTACATAGGCTCCATGGACACAAAAATGTCCGCAACAAAGGTTTACAGGCTCGATGGAGACAACAATGTCCGTGACAAAGTGGCCGGCTCGATGGGCACAAAAATGTCCGCAACAAAGTCGCGTTTTTTTTTTTTACAGGCTCGATGGAGACAACATTGTCCGTGACAAGTGGCGTGTTGTTTTTTTAAACATAGGCTGGATGGATAGCAAACATGTCTGTAACTCTGTAACAAAGTGGCGTCTGTTTTTTTTGACAGGCTCGATGGAGACAAAAATGTCCGTGACAAAGCGGCGCGTTCCGTAACAAAACTCCTTTCCAGAGGCTCCTAGTAGGGGGCTGGTCTGTTGTTTAGGTTCCCTTCCCCTGAGAACCTCGCTGTGGCAGGACGTTCAGCAGTAGCGGCCAGAGCCTCTGAGGTTCCAGGGGCTGCGCTGGAGCCCTCTAAGTCTCTAAAGTACTGGGAAATAGGAAACCGCTTGGATACGTCGATACTTGGTTTTATGAGGTCTTTGAAGCGGAGGGGGCGGGAGGACTTGCATACAGGACGGTGAGCATGTGACCAGTAGGAGCCTGTTAGATATGTCGCCTTTAAGGTATGGAGTGGGGGGAGGAAGGCTGAGAGTGTTGAGGGCACAGTGCTGCGCTGGAGCCCTTTCAAGCGCTAGGAAACTTCTAGGATACGTCGATACTTGGATATATGAGGCCCTGTGAGGTATTGTATAAGAGGCCGGGGAGGAGTACTAGAGCAGGAGCCCTGTTGAAGGGGTCAGGGTTTAGGGGTGAGAGGGAGCTAGATACCCGAGCTGGAGCCCTTTGAAGGGTACGTTGTGAGGGGTTGGATAAACGAACAGGCGAAGGGGGAGGGGGGCTCGCGGAAGGGGTGGGTGAAAGGAGGATGTAGGCCTTGTGCCGTTGCGGGAGAGGGGGGGGAGGGCTGGGCGTTGGGATTCGAAGGTAGGAGGGTAAGGGTAGGGGTTGAAAGGAGGGTCGGGGTAGAGGAGTTGGGCGGGGAGGTTGGGGTGGGGAGTGGGCGCAGTGGGTTTTCAAGAAGGCTGCCCCCGCTTCGGGTCGGCCGATATGTATATATATATATATATATATATGGTACCCCCCCCCCCAGTTATCCACACCTTTTCTGCTTGTTTTGTGTTTTTCTTGTTCTGGCGCTGCGTATTTCTTTTTTTCGTTCGTAATTTGTTTTCTTTGCCCCAGCGTGTTGATTATATTTTCCTTCTTCCTCTATTTATATCTGGTTGATAATCTGTATGTTTATACTACACCTCTAGAGACGTTTCTAGAGTGCATAGTGTACTTAAATTTCAAGGCCTCAATGGTCAAGCACGATGAGGGACAAGGAGTATTGAAGTTCAATGCTCCGGATTGAACTTCAATACTCCGGGATTCAAGATTCAAGATTCAAGGTTCCCGGGAAAAGTTTCCCCGGGATCTTGAATCCAGGGTCCCGAAGTATTGAAGTTCAATCCGGGGTATTGAACTTCAATACTCGGGACCCTGGATTCAAGAT